ACTCTCATGAGAACGAATCATTGGAAAAATACACTGCCTATGCACATAGGATGGTTTTTCAAATCCCATCCTATCAATTCTTTCCAATAAATTATCGGAACAAAATTTAAAATCTCTTATTGATGAACAATTAAATGATGAAAATTTTAATTGGCCAAATTTGATTTTTAACCAATTTAATATTTGAGTGGAATTATCATCACTGGAAGGAAGTTTAAAATCACAAAGAAAAAATCTAACTTTCCCCTCTTTATTGTTTCGCATTTTTTTTTACTAAGAAACTCAATCACTAACAAGTGTTACAATTCTGATCTGAATCTTTCAAGTTTTCTTAATTGTTTACTATAACTATATATCAACACTAATAACTCAATAAATTTAAATCAATACAAACAAATGGTACATACCTTAATTTCAATTATTATTAATAGAACACAACAATACCACCTAAACAACACATTAGGCTTTCTATGAATGATATTGTATCCACTCTCTCCATATTCTCACTACAAAAGTTTCAAACATGCTTCGTGACATTTTTCACACATATTTAAAATAGAAAAATGATGTCCAAACTTCGATACAAAACTCCAAGATAAATTTTCAAAAACTACATAAAATTGAACTCGAACGCCGGGAATTGAACCCGGGTCGCCAGAGTGACAGTCTGGAATGCTACCACTATACCACGCCCGATTACATAAAGATAAATATCATTCCTTAATTCGCCTTAATAAACAAATTGGTGCATAAGAGATCGATTGCTCATACCTTAATTTTAAAATTTGTTAATCTTCAAATCATCATTTGGCAATTAGTTGACTCACCCTATGGATCTTTTAACAGTTATGCATCAGTTATACTTAGTCAAATGAGTTTGAGAATCAAATTGATCTTCCAATTCTTGAATAAACTCACTCTTACCAGCGACAGACTTTTCAACAAATATTCTGTTTTGTTAAGAAACTATTTTTAAGTGCATTGAAATTCCAGACTTCCTTAGTTTTCCTCAAGTTAAAAACTTGGCAGAGACACATGCTGTGCTTAAGGAATAAACCGATTCCTTCAATGTATTTCCTCCAGTTGCCTTATTGGCAA